TTTTATCACTGTTTTTGTAAGGCTAACTATGCACAAAGGCGGGATTACCTTTCGATCAATACATGTTATTGTTTTAAAGATGTGCTAGACGAGGCTGACACTTGTAAACAATACAACGTGAATAAGCATTGCGGGCAGGATTTCAAGGATCGCGGGCGAAACAAAAGCGACGCGGCTGTTTGTCTAAGCGACGCGGGCCCGCAGTGCTTGAAAGGCCTGGGGAGAACACTGAATATTAACAAATCACAATTTGGTTTACTGAAAATTACTATCTAATCGAACATGTGTCTTGTGTTTGCACCATGCAGTAGTACCCCCCAGATTAAACCACTGTGGTGGTAACAATATAATTACTATATTACATATTATTTGCATAATTATTTCAAACAGAAATTAATTAATTAATATTTATCAGTAGAGCATGTTACTCATGTTTCAATGTCCTGTTCCATATAGGACTCACATTGACAGAAAAGTCTCCGCACTTACCAAGTCTTCTTTTAGTTTTTGGTATCGTTCAGCTTCATCTTTTTCCAACTTTGCTTCCTTCCTCTCTGCAGCGATGCCTTTCTTCTTGTGATAATTGAACTGCGTATCTTCTTCCGCTTTTAACATCTCGGCTTTGCGCGACTCGTATGATTCTTTTAATTCTCCAGACCGGCTAATCTCTTCAAAAAGCTGAGTACGTTCTTTGGGATTTTTCATTGCGATTGACTCTACAGCACCCTAAAGAATAAATTATCAAAACAAAATTTATCTTGCTGCAAATGTTTTTTATAGTTGATTTGGTTTGTATCAAATATGAGCATGAAAGTGGTTGTTTTTTAATCAATATCCATAGTACATTTATGTGGTCATTCAAAATTTTAGAAGCCAATTAATTATGAAAAACTGCCAGACGAGGCAAGTTGAAACACAATCAAAGTAGAGGCTCAGACAATCACTGGCATTTGGACAAAATTGGAGGCATTGAAATTATAACATTTATTATATACTTCACCCTTAATAAAAATCTATAAATGGTTTTGGAGTACAACTTTAACATCTGCAAAGTCACTGGCATTTCCAGCATAGCAAAATATTAACAATAACACAGATACAACTCCAGAATGAAATGAAGCATTCTGTACTCTAATGATTTACAGTCTGTGATTCCTTACATTAATCTTTAAATAACCTCATCGCTGTGAAAACTAAACTGATTTTACGTAACCGATAAATATTGGAACATTGTATTTCAAACATACCTGGAAGACCAGAAAGTTTCGAGCTTTGACAAGGATACCTAGTTTCTCCAGTTCACTAGAATACTGGGCAAAACTGATCACTTTACCATTAATACGGAATTCTGTTGATGAACCAATCACACTACAAACAAAAAATAAATCAATAAATATTTTGTTCTCTTTGTATACTGTAAAATACTTAATTTTCGCTTGTAATTTATTTTTACTATTTTTGCTGAAGGAATGATTCGGTGAAAATCAAATCCAGCAAATATAATCTTTTTAAGCGAAAAGAAATTCCAGCTAAATTAAAGTATTTCACAGTACTATAAAAGCAAGTTACAAATGAAAAAAAAAAAATCTTCTCCAAAATTAAAATATTTCATGTATTAGGCCATGAGAAAAATATGCCTGTTAGATGTACACATCACAGTTTTCTTCTTGCGTCTTACCGACACATAATAATTTAAGGAAGAAAAATTCTATTTTTCAAAATAAATAGAAACACAATTTAAATTGATATAATAAATAAAAAATATTGTGCCTCCATCTATTTTGGACAACAAACTGACCAGAAACATATTTCTTGGGACTTATTATTTGTTCAGTGTTCCGGTTCCATTTCCAGTTTTGGTCAGAAAGGGGATTCTTACGTTCTAGTGAATTTTTTCTCAGTTTCATCCTCTTCAGCGTACACAGCAGTTACAAACGCCCTGGTAGCTGCAGGTTTACCAACAGGGGCTCCATGAATAAGGTCTGACAACTTCTTTACTCTCAAGTTTGAGGCTTTGTCTCCCAATACAAAGCTGATGGCATCCATCAAATTGGACTTTCCTGTGAACAGCATGAAAAATACGATGATTAATAACAATAGCAATCTCTGGCTTGTATCAGTGGGTCAAATAATATCACATATGACTCATAGTTTTAAGGATAGATCCAAACAAGTTGCCTTTGTAATGTCCAAAATATTAGTGAAATTTGAAAAAAAGTTTCAAAGGATGTCTACTTAACGACAACAATCACTCTTGCATAGTGTTGATACTTATGTACATTCAGTATCACAGCAACCAGACTAGAGACCTCAATACTTGTCTATAACATGAACAAGTTGAATATGACATAAGTATAATTTGCATTATCTATAGTATCGTAAAATCTGTATTAGAAGCCGCATCCCTAATAGAAGTCACCCTATTCTTTTAGAATAATTGAGAATCAAATATTCATCATTTGTCATATGTGTAAGTGCCCGAATAGAAGCCCCATTCCGTTTATTGCATTGTGCTA